ATGTATCCGTCATATATTAATAGGTAGTGAATTAATTTTAATTAGATTGTATCGTAATATTTATCTAGAATACTTATTGCAATATTAATAAACTAGCTTCCGTCCGCAGCTTCGCCCGCGTAGTATGTTGATAAAAAGTAGCCTACGCCCTATTCCGGAGAGTATCCTAAAGCCTGTGTCAAATCTCATCCAGATCCATCCAGCTGTTTTGGCGTGATTGTGTAACAAACATCCAAACATCGTAACTTTCGCATTTATAATACTAGTAAGATTCTAAGGCACATTAAGGTATCACAAATACTTCAGAAATAACATTGAAATAGTCTATTTCGGAATAAATTCAATAACGTTAGAATAAAATGTAAATGAGAGCCGACAAAGGAAAAAACCTATTGAAATAGACTGAGAAGAGACCGGCAAGGTTTTGAGCGAGGGAAACATTCGATGTAAACAGTGATAATGACACTGCGAGGGTCACTGCACACTATAGTCAAGGTTATTCCTTGCATTTGTTATTATGTATGTAGTTTTTTTTTAATATAAGTGATAGGACGATAAACTTGCACACGCATTCCCTGATGGTAAGCAATCAGCGCCACCCGTGGACAACGGAAAAGTTACGAATGCGTTGCCATTCTTGGGATTAGGGATTAAAAAAATGTTGGGATTGGGGAGGAAATGGCGGAGGGTAAGTTTGGGCCTCTCTCACGCGGCGAAACACAACGATGTGGTTGTTTCACGCTGGTTTACTGTGAGGTCGTGTTATCACTTCTCATCATCTACGACCCTTTCGTGCCGAAGCATGGCTCTCCCACACATAAGTATTGCACATACATTAAGATGTCATCGTGACAATTTCGTAAATTTTTAATGCATAATGCTATCAAATCTATAACTGAGTATTGCTTGGAACTATTTATTCGGTACTTAACAACCTATACACGTAAAATCTCGCGCAGGGTGATGTAAGGTTTCAGTGAAAATGTATAACTGTGTGTAATTGTGTTCACCACTCATAATTAAACAATATGTATTAAATAAATGATTATATTATCAACAGTCTCCGATCGTGCGTGAGGACGGCAGCTGCAGCGCCTCATTGTGATACAGCTCCAGTCTGTACGTGTGTATGTCTGTACATCCCACTCTGACGTATACACATGTATCCCTGATAGCGATGCTAATGTTCGAATCAAAAGTACAACGTGTGCATCCTTTGTGTATTTGTGAACCGATTGTCGATTGTTACCGTCAGTCGCCGCGACGCCGCGTATCAGGCCGCGCTTGACGTCATCTCACAGCTAGATCTAATACTTGAAGACAGGCACGTCCGTACTGATCGATACTTCTTCTACGTAAAACATTTAGATATTGTGAAAATTTTAACATTTGATGACGACATTTTTTTTCCAGTAGGAGTTGTTTTTGTCCTAAAAATTAAGTTCCAAGTCGATTCCGATTTGATTTCTCTGAGTAACCTAGGCTATTACTAGCTCGGGATGTACTTACACATGACATTATCCAATGTACACACACGTACCCCTTATCTCTGTGTGTGTCCACGCCAGCCTGTCACTTTCAATTTCCATCCTGCCGGCCAGTTTGTCTAGACAAATCGCTGTATAAAAACTAGTTACATAGCTACTTTCTATGCTAGTTCGTGCTAGGTCATGCAGGCTGGCATTAAAGTCTAGACTAAGTAGATAAGTACTAAGTAATTCATACTTCTAGGGTATTATTTAGTGAGTCTAGTTTATTGAGAAACTGTGATGCCTTAATTCTTAGGGTATACATACCTGTATGTTTTAATCCACATGGCGAGAGTGCGATTCAACGAACATCGTTAGGTGTTCATTATCGCCCTTGAAGAGGTCTAAACTATTTGTGTTCTCCAAGTAATTTGTCATGGCTTCAGCTAGGGGGGTCGGGTATCTCGTTAGGCCCTGAAATACCTTCATTTACGACCGCCATCTTACGTGGCAAGGTATTGCATCATGGCTGCGCGATGAGTACGCAATAACGGTAGGACCCTGCTGCATGCTGGCTACATTTGGGAAGCACACACCGACAAATTATTGCCACGCTGCGTTTTGTGCTCATTTCCCTGTAATATTATAATGTCATTGTTTATTTGCGATGATTATTGGAGTACGTTGAAAGGAGGAAAATCAAATATAGTGTCGAACTCAAAGTTGATGACGAAATTATTCCTTCCTGTTGCTACTTATTATTATGTGTCACTTGGCGTCATGGCGTATCCAAAATGTATTTATTTTGTTTGTGGTTACAGTCATACATTCATCATACATACCTTTGGAAAGCCAGAATCGTCCAAGTCTACTACTACTAGCCGATTACTCTACTCGGATCATAGATCAATCTGTACTTACAAAGCTTTATAAAAACGAATAATTTAATATCACAGGAATTGTTACTTTCCAAAAGTCGATGTTCTAAATTTGTTTCTGGGTAGTGTAATTCATATATTTTCCTTCATTTTACCTTTACATTGTTACATATAATTCAGTTGTGTCCCTGTGAGCGCTGACTGAAGTATGCGCCCGTATGATCGGGTTGCTCCAACAATCACACAAATAATTCGAGAATTTACGAGTGTGCGCAGGTGGCTCCCTCTCTGTTTTATTGCCCAGTTCGGGAGCACCCTGTATATCATATACTGATGTACAGGCTGTTACCACAGATTGGCAACGTGAAGTTATGTTCGTGTGTTTATTCCGGGGAAGAAATAATATATTTTTATGGATGTTTTGTAAGAGCAAACACAGTGATGTTATTGATAACTTTCTCATACACCGCTCGTGTACTTGGAACGATCATAATTTGAGATATAACAAAGGCGTTTTAGGTCTTTTTTCTTAAATATTTAAGCTGTTGTAGAGATGTGAGACTTTAGAATTATCTGTAGTGTGAAATTGACAGATAGAGTAAAAATGACGTGATCAGGGAAACAAATAGATTAAAAGAATATAGAAAGCACATTTAACTCAGAAAGAGTCATACTGGTACGTGACGGGTTTCGAACCGCACCCTCATACATGAGAAGCGGACGCCTTAACCTCTGGGCCACCTCGACAGTTGAGCGTGACAATTATGTATATTCCTTTGTTAATTAGTAAAATATTACGCAACCAAGAAGCGCCTTCTTCATGATATAGAAAAACAAAACAAATGATTTTCATATTATTCATATGTACGTATTACGTAAGCGGGTACATACAAATACCCTGTATACACCCTTCCTAAATGAAATTCGAGCACGAGCATGCACGTAGCAACACAAATACTTACTGACAACAAGAGATTAACAAGTTATTAGTTGATTTTGTTATTGATCAGCGTTTTATATACTAGCAGGTCTATGTAGTAGGTACTTACTTTTTATTTAAACTTATGTATTACAAATATATTGATTCAAATTGAGCAAATAAATGTCATTTTAGAGTCGCAACATTAGTCAAATGAGTCATTTTTTTAATATAAAAAGTTGCCTCGCATTACAATTTTCTCCTCGAAAACAAAACGCACGCACCCAAGGTACGTTTACAAACAAACAATTTCACATGCACATCACACCCAGACCCGGAACAACAAATTGTGGATCACACAAAGAGCTGCTCCGTGCGGGAATCGAACCCGCGAGACATTATGCAGCAGCCAGTTTTCTAGCCACCACTTCAATCAAAAAAATTTGTTTCATTGTAACACTTCCATTCCTTTTTAAAATTATTTTAGCCAGAGATTAACAACCAAATTGTTATCCATTTCCAGGCAATTTTTAGTTAATTTATTATTAATCAATGGAATAATTCAATGCGTTAATTAGCGATGGTGGGATTAATATCAATTTAAATTCATCGAGTGATACCTCAATGATATAGGGTTTTATGCGATATGGAGGCAAACGTTTTGCTCAAAATGGCCTTTTCCTCAAAATGGTAAGCAATCGGCGCAGCTCAAAGCAGCATTTTGGGGAGGAAAGAGTGTGTAAATAAAACAATCAAGTGTTATTACAGTACAATTAATAGAATAAACTATTTCAGCATTTTAAATATGCGGTTGGATATGTTATCTAAGTAAACAAAAATCTTAAAAATTAATCTATCCCTCCCCCAATCTCTAAATCTCTAAATCCCTTATCCCCAAAAGGTCGGCAACGCACTCGTAACTCCTCCGTTGCGGGTATCCATGAGCGGCGCTGATTGCTAACCATTAGGTAATCCATATGCTCGCTTGCCGACCTATCATATAAAAAAAAATACTTATTAATCCATTAGTCATTTCTATAACCCTGTTTTCAGATAACATTGCCTTTTTTGCTGCATTTGTATCGATTGTCCATTGTTTGTTATTAACGTCGTTAGGTTGTTACATAAATCACATAGTTCCCAAGTTTTTACATACTTAATTTTTTTCCCCCAATACAAGACCATAACCTGTGATACCTGGTACACATCGCTACATGACAACTTAGCAAGCTTTACAAGCTACCTACCTATGTGAATATCCAGTTTATCATGGACTAGCTTTGCATCATATTCCGATACGTTCAAGGGTCAGTTTATACTAGTTTTAATAGCTTGATGTAAAGCCGTACCTAGCTCGATACAAGGCAAATACATTTGCTCAGGATAACTGGCGGTCGCCCTATTAATGCACGAATGAATTATTATGACAAATTTTTCAGTACCTATATGATTATGTTGGAGGTCCGGCTAAGATTACTAGAGCACCAGAACGTCCAAGTAACTACTGCATGTCGGAGTAAATAGTCGTGTAGTACATACATTGCAGCCGGGCGGTGCTCACACAGAGATTTAGGTAACCATCTAACCATGGCGCATCGGCCCTGAGCAGCGCCGAGCCGTCGCAGTAATAGCAGCAAAATGTAATTAATCGAAGAAAGGCGCACTTCGTTCGGTGTGAGGGGACGTCGCGGCGCGCGTTATCGACCTTGACATTGCGAGCGAGGGAGACAGGTGATGGAGGAGCGCGCGGATTGGTCGGGCGACGCGCTGGTGCGGCTGCTGGCCGAGTACAGGAAGCGGCCGGAGCTGTGGTACAAGGGGCACCGCCTCTACAGGGAGCACTCCGCCAAGTACGAGTCCTGGTCCGAGCTGGCGGCACTCTTCCACTGCACTATTGCATATCCCCTTTACTAACTAAAGTCAACACAAATTAGATCATTACTTTGTCATGAGATTTCTAATGGTTGATCAAAATGATTGAAAGTGTGATGGTTGCACACTCACCACACCAGGTCGCAACACACCTGTATTCATATTATTTTTAATTATCGTTGCTTCAATCTTAGATTTTGATTTACAATTTCGTTAATGACATCGAAGGAACCTGAAGTGATACTTCCAAGAGGGGACTTACAACCAAGGGGCTTTCATTACATTCAGGCAGTCCGCACATAGGCTATCTCCTGGCGTTCCTTCCACCTGAATCGGATACAGCAACTCAGACAGATAGACCAGGGAATGTGCCTCTCGGGAACTTTTTTTTTATTATGTGATAGGTCTGCAAACGAGCAGACGGCTTACCTGATGGTAGGCAATCAGCGCCGCCCATGGACACCCGCAACAACAGAGGAGTTACGTGTGTTGCCGACCTTTAAGGGATTGGGGATTTGGGAGATTTAGGGATTTGGAGAGGGGTAGGATTGGGCCTTCGGTAACCTCACTTAAACGGCGAAACACAACGCTGTGGTGTGATACTCTTCAAAGAGGACACTTACCGCCATGGTTATAGTGATAGCATAATATATGTCCCCACCTCTTACTCAACAGATATAATATTAAACTTGTACTTATAATGCATTCAAATTACAGATTTCCAAACGATGACATACAAATGAAAGAAATTTGGATGAATGCAACACAAAGGGGGGATTTTTTTCCTTCAAACACCAGCGTCATATGTTCTAGACATTTCAAGGCAGATTGCTTTGAGAGTTTGAAAAACAATAGACGACGATTACGAAAGTCATCAGTGCCTACTCTATATTTACCTATTGTCGTAAGTATTTTCTTTAATATGATACTATTTTTATGTGGGCTTGTCGAATAACCGATTATAATGAGACCTAAACGTGAAAAAATATGTGTGCCATTTTATTAGTGCTAAACTGCTGTCAGTGCTGTGATTTACCTTTATTTTTTTTTACAGACTCTTCCAGATGGTTCATGTGCTGACCAAAATGTAACGCCTCAATTAATAAATAAGGATATAACTTCCAAAAACACGGTAATTTTTACAAATAATTATTACTACTTTTCTGTTTTCTTCAACTAATTTGGGAAAAAAGGGAACGTATGAACAGGAGTGAGTTTTAAGTCGATAAAAGTGTAAAAATACCTACCGCGCGTGCGCTGATGTTAACGTATGATTTTTCTACCAAAAAATAAAATCCATATTTTGTTCGTATCTTTTAGTATTTATTGGAATGAATGTAGAAATATAACAAATAAAATAGTTTTGCCCGAACTAACACCAGAATTAAACCGAGGTCAAGTTTCATCAGGGTGTATAGGAAGGAAATAAACCAAGTATGAACATTTAGGAAAATTTCGTTCGTTTTCAGGGTTGAGGTAAACAAAATAATTCAAAGAATTAGAAATAAATAAATGAATTAGCTTTTTTGTCAGGGGAAAATCATCCAATGTCTTCTCCCACCCAGGGTAAGGCGAGAGAGAGTGTCAGACTCTTACTGACTAAAAACGCCCCCGTTCCTTCTCCTGCTCTGGGCCGAGGTCGCGGTGCCTCATTGCGCTTTCCCCGTAGCCCCGGCTGTGGCCCTATTAGGCCCCGTCTGTGGTGGTCTATTATGGTACGTGCCGTACGCTCTGGTCTGGTTCTGGTCGGGCGACGAGCTACCCTTACTCGCCGTCCGCAGATCATTTCACGGGTTGTTTATTGCTTTAGGAGGAATTATGCTTTTCTTGTTTTGTTTCTTAAATCAGTTTTAATTCGAAGACTTGTACTAATCACAAAAATGGAATTTGCCGCAGTACACAACAATACGGCAACTAGCAATGGCAGGTACTTACTCACGTTTGTGTGGAAAACTTTGATACATTATCAGTAATATTCGTATCTACTCACCTACTGATTATGTTACTGAATTAAGAAAATAAACTTTAGATGGTCGCTACAACGTCTGTACTCTGTGACATGAGGAAGGAAGACTTTATCGTGGGCCGGATTGTGGTTTTTTTTCTTCATTAGTTCCATTTTGATGTTTTCAATAATGTTCCTGTTCACCCACTCGCTAATACTACACTCTAATGTCCTCAACTGTAATCTTAGATCATGTTATACTAGAGAATCAATTACATGATAAAACTAATATTTGAAGTAATCTCTAACAGTATCAAAATTATTTTAAAGTTAAGTGCAGGGCGACCCGTGCGGTGTAAAATAAAATATACTAAAACAATTAGTCGATTGTAAATAGATTTGTAGTAAGTTAGTTTATTGAATAGACAAGTTATTACATCTTTATAAGTAACCTTGTTTGTACATGTCACGTTCCCTGGTCTATGTCGTTTCCACTGACCACTGCGCGCGGGTCCCTGTTTGTCTTCTGGGGTTCCTAGCACATATTAAAAGGAACAAAACCAATAAGTTACTCGTTATCTTTCGCAGGCCTCTTCCAATTACGCAACGGAATCGAGTTCAAGCGAGTCATCTGATGATAACGAAGAGGAAGAGGAGGAGGAGGAAGAAGAAGAGAGACCGGAGGATCGTGTACAGCAGGTAACAATAAAACAGGAGCCGAGCACCTCGGAGACATGCAGCGCGGCCGTGGTACAAGAGGAGCAGCCATCCGCGCCCGCGCAGCCGAAGAAACGAAAACTACCGAGGGGCCTCGACGCCCTCGACAGCAAGCTGCAGGAGGCTCTGAAGATATTGAAGAAGTCAGACCTATCGCGGAAGAAAGACGAGTGTGACACCTTCGGGGAGTACATAGCGATATCGCTGAGGAAGCACGACGAGCGCACACAGAGCATGATCAAGCAAGCCATCAACAACATACTGTTTGAGCAGGGGTTGAGGATCAGTACACCGTGCCAGCGCGGGGCAGTACACCGTGGTGCTCACCGAGGACGATGAGAAGCCCCTCATCTGCGAGGAGAAGTGAGCACTTGTGGGGCCGGAGTTATGTCTGTGCCAGCATGCAACATGGCGCCGGCGCTAGGGGAATGGAATAGACGTGGCTATCTCACATACGACAGTGACAACCTTTTTCATTATTTCCATTCTAGATACAACTAGCTTCCTCTCGACTATGTGTGCTGTACTGAACTCTGCCGGGTTTCTGCATTTTGCATAGACTGACTGACCCAATATTTTTATAAGGTTTTGTAAGTAGTGATGTTATGTATATACCTAGATTTCAATTATTACATACATACGTAGTTGATGTGTTTCATTTTATTCTGTTTTTTATTATCGTCAAGAAGTGCACAGTGGTGATCTCGTCGATACAAATCCAACTAACTAACTTCACAAGTGGTCTGAAATTTATGTATAAGTATATCTACATTGAGAGGATTTTGTTTGGAAATAATTTAAACAATTTAGTACCTAAAACTACCTAACTTAACTTTGAAATCATTCAGCTGCGAATGTCGACATAATGTTTATATGAATGGCATAGCATCTAGCAGTGGAAAAATTAAAGTTGTATTAACTGAAAAATTAAAATTATCATGAAAACATTACGGTGCACCCAATAGTTAAAAAATATAATAAATAGAACTATGCCGAATGAAGGACCCGTCACTAGTACATCTGACATGTATCGACAACTGCATTGGAACAAGTGCATTGTGCTCGCTTTACGTGTCTCCATTAGTTTTTACATGCATCGATCAATTATTTAGAGCAGCTGTGTACGTGCCTGCGCATGCGCACACACGCCGACCTCTCACTGCCACACTAACCATTGCTGCCTCACCGCCCTCACCGGCCTGCACCCTCTTACAGAGTCTCCAATGTACATCAAACTCATCTATATTTACTTTAGTGGTTTACAGGTTTGTTTCAACTCCGCCAGTTGTTAATGTAACGTGTACATCGCTGGGTTTGTATTACAGGTAACTTAGGTACTATAATGAAGCCTTGTGTTGTATGCTGAGTATGTAGTAAGTTTCCACAAGAGCAACACCTTGGTAAGGTGCATCACGCCACCAACGTCACGTAGTGTGCGTGTGTGTGTGTGTGTGTGTGCATTTCGCGTGCAATCTAGCAATGCATTTGCATTTAACTGGCTTCAGTTACAAGACATATTTACCCACAACGAACTGATGTTGGTTTAACGTGAGGCTACACTATACACTTGTACAGTTCTTGCCTTCCATTCGTCATTATTGTCAACGGGCATCGATTTTTTTATTTATGTATTTCAGGTATCAAAGGCCCATATAAACTTATACAATACCTACTATATAAACAATAAAACTAGTGCACATGAAGTGTCGGCGTCATGTATCGCTAACTAGTGTCATGTAGGCGGCCACGCACGACACCCTTCGGCCAGAACTCTTCCTTGAGGAACTTCTCGGGATCATCATCATCAGCCTATAATTGCCCACTGCTGAGCAAAGGCCTCTTCTCACACGGAGAAGGTTAGAGTATTAATCACCACGCTTGCTCAATGCAATAATATGTATTAGTTTATGATTTAATGTTATAATATATTTATGTATTGTATTCTCTATGGGCCTCAGATGCCTAACTTAAATAAATAAATAAAAATAAATAAAAAAAATGCGGGTTGGTGATTTCAAACTTATAATTTTAGAAATTATAAGTCCAAGTTTCCTCACGATGTTTGCCTTCACCGTATGTCAGTGGTGTCTAAATAATCATAGAAAGTCTAAATAATCATAGAAAACTTCTCGGGATAGTGTGTCGGAACTCACACCATGGAATACTCGTTGTGAAGCGGCTCCAACCTCATGACCATCAAGTTCCAGTTGGTCTTAACGCGCACGTACTCCACGATCTCCTCAACCTTCGTAGAGTGGTGCACGTAGACTAGAGTTGTGCTGCTGACCGTAGCAGCATGTTGGTATTATCAATACTCTGCATCAATGCCTCATGGGGAAGATGCGTCTATAAGTTACAAGTATTACTTCATTTAAGCAATGGCAATAATATAGAACAAAGATAGATAGCAATAAAAAACTTATTTGGCTACAGTTGGTGCAAAGATGCATTTGCCTTTACTTTTAAGTACTAATATTCCATGAACCTCCTCAACGGAAGTGATACTACAACCAAAGTACCCTGCATGAAACGAATTATGAGTGAGTTTTAGTTTACCAGAGGTATGTATCCTATGTATCGTATCTTCAATCCTCAAATCCATAATCCCCAAGGCTATCAACCAACCGAATCTTCTTTCCAGGTTGTCACTCGTCAATCGACGGGATGATAACGATGGGAGAGCGCAGGCCTAACGCGGCTCGAGGGTACGCCGGCGGTAGGTACGTTACAACGTTAAGACAGTGTATGTTTAATTAACATCAACTTTACGAGAGCGCTCAGTTAACGGTAGATGTCGTAAACCGTACCAGAAATGAGATATTGCAACTCAAAATCGTATGCAAAAAGTACCACTACCAAATATTTTCGAACGAACGAACCTGAGTCTTAGCTGATGCTAGGTTCATGGTACCGATCGACGTCGTCTATTGATACCCACAACACCAGAGGACTTACAAGACGTTTGTGAATCTGTCATCAATACTTATTAGGAATTGAGGATCTTGTGTAGTCGACAGTATAATATTTAAAATTGCGATAGTCATAAACTAAACTAATATGGGTCTCGTGGGTCTAATTTCCAACCAATAACCGACCTTAATCCGAAGACTGTGGATCATACGTTTTTACAGATTAAATAGAGATACACATAATGTCAAAAATCGAACTAAATCCAAAAAATTGGAGCTAGAGATGAATTTAATTTTGGGTCAATAATCTGTAGGTAGTGAACCTTCTGCATTTTTGTGTTATTGCGGCACACGAACGGAAGTAATCCCCATCTTAAGATAAGTAACCCCAAATTTCGGGGATAAGACTTATTGCGCGTTGCACAGTATCGCAATGAATTATAGCCTGTTATAGCCTGTAATAGCCTCCTGTCTACTGGAGCCACATCGTAAACGACTGCTCCTGTTCATCATTTGCGCAGCCTCAGGTTATGGAGGTTTAATGTGGGGTAAGCAGACATCCTGGATTAACACTGATGACTTTTTAGGATTAAGTAAAGATTACAACGTTGCAAATGAATTGAAGGTTCTTGTTGTTGTTAGAACATTTTGCTTCGAATACATTTTACCTGTATAAAATACAAAGAAAAGGGTGTCACGTTGTTCGTGTATGTTGTAACAGTAGCGGTAAACAAATGAATTTACTTCATATGATTAGTTCCAACATTTTGACTTACATTCAGGTGACTGGCATGAATAGCGGCAGATAACAGCGAGTCTAGACGAGACGAGCTGCAGCAGGCATTGTCTGTGCAAATAATAGTGTTCACTACACAATAGCAGCCTGCACACACACTCGCGGTACCCTGACTGTACGTACAGCGTGTGTCTGTGTGAGTGATTGCGTAGTGACAGCTACTGTACAATAAGGCAATGGAGGCTCGCCACTACTCGCCAGGCACCGCCGTGTCTGGCGAGCGAGGCCACGCACACACACGTCTCATGTGCATTGTGCACTAGTTGACCGTGCACCGCTGCACACACACACACGCTCATGTTACCACGCTTAAGGACGATATTAAATCTGAGTTTATTATGTAGCAGCCTAACTCTTGTTTTAACTCAGTAACTTTTCCTTCACGACAAAATCAACCTTTTCTTTAACCAAAAAGTAACTATTGTATTTTGCTCTTCCCGGAGTAAATTTGTGGAATTCTCTCAAAATTTTAGCTTTCTACGTAAATATGATGTGTAATATGTGTGTAGTCTGTCTATCAATAAGCGAATCACCGGTTACTGGATTGCTTCTATTGAAAACATTATCAATTTTACTATAGCATTCTTACAAGAAGCGAGGCCTGAGATTTTGGGTCTGTTTATAACCGAACCGATTATTAAGACTTCAAATAGTAAATAAATAACAATTATTAATAAAAAAATAATATAAGGTAATCAATGAATAATGATATCGACTTGCATCATTTAATATCACCTCATTTTCTGATAGTCATCGTAATTGGCACGACGCGAATTGCCATAAATGGCTATTAATGGGGCACTGCATGACACATACGACATGTTAAAATAAGGCAGTAAATAATACTTATATAAATACATAAAGATAAGGTCAGAGTCACTGAATTCAAAATAGGGTCTTGCTGTTCGAATAGGTATACGACACAGAGAGATTTTTCTGGTTAGACAAGGCATTTTAGACAAGTTTTCTTTTTGCGATAATTCAGCAAATATAGCTCGTCAATGGCGTCTCAAACTGCACAGGAAAGGACTTACAACATAACTTAGAAAAGTACGTTACATTAGCCAGTAGTCAGTCGAGTAGTCTTTTTGTAATAGCGTAGCTCAACAAACGAGCAGACGGATTACCTGATGGTTAGCAATTGGCGCACATATATAGTATACCAGGATCACCAAAGTGTTACAAGCATTCATACCATGCACATCTAAGGATTGGAATAGCTTGCCTGCAACGGTCTTTCCGTCCAGTTATGATTTAGGTGTCTTCAAGGCTAGACTGAATAGGCGATCGATGATAGACGATTGCATCTCTACTTACCATCAGGTAGGAAAAACACATTGCCGGCATTGGAGGGAACTGGGAAATCACACAGCAGGTGATGTGGCTTGTCGGTTTTCTCTGCTAAGAATCTCCTACCATGTATGGATAAAAACATTTACTTCGTCTAGAATTGAGAGGAATGGATAATTCCTTCTCGAAGTATTGCAAGTCAACGTACATCGGATGTAGGTGCAATGACGTAGATACAGCTGTGATAGTGGCGCGATATCACATTTCGATAACACTGACACTGAGTCACGGCGATACTTTCGCTGACACTTACTGACTCATTACTGACTGACTGAGGAGTTGCTGTGTCACATAGATCTGAAATACGTGGCGGTTCGGTGTCCGGTCTGTGATCGGTCTGTAGGCATTGCTGTGAAAATTTTCATGAGTTCTTTTACAATTAAGTACTTAAATGAAATAAGTAAATATGTCAATGGATATTTTTAAAAACAACTATTACCTATGGGTATAAAGTACCTACGGTATGATTTAAAGTTAATAACTAAATTGACAATTAACGTTTTCACTATAATTTCCTTTTAATACAGGGAAAACATTACTTACTTATTATTAACCCACAGCGTTGTGTTTCACCGTTTGAGTGAGGTTACCGGAGGCCCAATCCCTCCCCTTCCCCTATCCCTTCCTAATCCTTATATCCGCAACACCCATCCCCAAAAGGCCGGCAACGCACTCGTAACTTCTTTGGTGTTGCGGGTGTCCATGGGCGGCGCCGATTGCTTACCATCAGGTAATCCGTCTGCTCGTTTGCCGACTTATACCATAAAAAAAAAAACTTGCCTAAGTATGTATTTACGATGATGTGTAAACTAACCGATACACTACCTAAACATATTTTATTCCTAACTATACGTATGTTGTCCTAACTAACTCCAGTATTGACCAAGTAAATAATATCCCAGAAACGAGCATTATGACTTTACCACCATTATTAACGTCATTGACTTAATTCAATGAATTTATCTGCGCACGCGCCGGTTTCTACCATTAATAATTAAATGTAAGGCAAACATTTCATAATATTGCTTACCGGGTATTACCAAAGATGGACACATTTACAATAAAACGATTCAAAATGTTGAAATATTTATTAATATTTTAATAATTCAAAGTTTTACAACACAATTATAAGCTTCATTTTTTATTATTCATTTACAGCTTTTGCAAAATTGTTATATGTGAGCTCTGGAGCTTATAACAAGTGATAAATTACGATTACTTATTAACTATTTAGTACCTAAAGACTTTTTAGCATTCACCTGGGCCAATAAGAAAACCCCCTATTTTTGGCTTACTGATTAAAAATCACCATCTTCTTTCTGCTCCACCGAGCCAAAGCCGCGGTACACCTGCAACCCTGACTAAATAAAAACCCCTAGTTACACAATCCTGCAAGCCACTATCCACACAATCGATTACCGAAAACTTTACACCTTTCAGATAACTTCAAATCCCCAAAGGTAAGTTATTATTGATCAGTTTCCTCTTTAGTACTGACTTTGAGTTTAACGCGTTTCAGACTTCTTGTCCTTAGAATCCTCTACCAGTTTTGCAGCTGACGTCTGAGAGAGACAAGTACGTAAGTACATTTTGAAGTATTTCCCCAGAACAACTGCTTCATAGAAATATTATAGGCATTGTAATAATACCACGGCGAGTATATTCTGCTGTTTATATTCTTTAGTCACCCCCACAGTTAGAATTAATTAGTAACTAATTAATGGTGATTTGTACAAATGTGCAATAATGGTGAAATTGAACTCTGTTCGTGGTGATTTCTATTTCCTAGTGGCTATGAAGCGATGTCTGAAAAACATAATAATGGATTGTAGAGGGTTGTATTAATACTTTACAGTTTTTCTTGCACCCTTAACGTGAATGGTTTTACTAGTATTAAAAAGAAAGCTTGTTTAAGGCGGATTGGTGATTTGAAACGTATAATTAGATATTACGAAACGATCTTATAGTAATAAATATGGCAACATTCGTAAGTATAACTTTAATAAATAAGACTACGTAGTTAAGTAAAAATAATTTTCCGCATCCGTCACTCACTGCGGCCGCGGTATCTAGAGTTTTGTTGCATCACATGGCGCGATGTGACGTCACGAGCGAAACGCATGACACATCGGAGCCGCTCCGTCTGTGCGGTCGGGTAAAGTAATATTTGGTACTTGCAACACGTGGTACGAGCTCGTGTTCAAAGAACTCATTGTGCACACCCACTACACAAGATAATGTACTTCGCTTTACTGAAACCTCTTTGCACACCTATCTCAACTTGTGAAACTATAATCAATGTATCTTTATTCATTGGTTATTTCATCCACCCCAAGCGAACGCCAGCGTTCTCGCACTTATTGTTCTTCTATTGTGGCCCTAATTACCACGATTGATCAAGGTCAAGGAGGCTCAATACTTCCCATCTCCCATCCCTCGAGGCAATTGTAAGTCCTTCGGTGGTAGGTTATCTGAAAAAAAGATATACCGAGCAAGGAATCTGGAGTTCCATTGCCAAATTCAAATTGTATTTTATTTCTACATATTTTCTTAATTTGATAACCTCAAACAAAACTTGTGGCTTAAATTGTGGCCGTAATATGCCAGGTTAAAAATATGAGTTAAAACCCCTTTGGAGATTAAAATGTCAAATTTTATTGACCGTCACTTTGTACACGACTCGCACACTCCCTGCGCACGCGCATGGCAACAGTTACATGGATTGACGCAAACATACTGACCAAATGTTGTTTGTATGACTTAACGATTTATTTACTGATAAATGAGTTATCTGTTATCAATCTCTTAATTACTAAAAAAATACATATTTTTATCTGTTTTGAGGTAATTGACATGCGTAGGTCAGGTAGCTAATTATTACCTGTTCTTTTATCTATTTACACTGATAGATCAGTCTTGTTTGTTTTTGAATGGCTGGCACGAGTGCCTTGCGTGGAATTTCTAGTCTGAGGATCTAGTCTCGATTAGGCCAATGTGTTATTAAGTTTTTTCAGCTTGTGTCAGCGAGACCCTGTCGGGTGCATGGTAATACGGCCGGGGTTGCTCTATGCTATAGTATAGCCCAGCTCGAAACAGGAATACGGAACAGGGTCTTGTTTAGTCAGTAAGAGTCACTACTCCCATTCGCCCCACCCAGGGTGGGAGTAGTCATTTGATGATTTACTGCCTAAAAAAGATGTATGTATGTACTTACTCTATCCGACAGTTATTAGTCCTGTACCTGGCTGTCTGACTGTCTGTCCTCGTAATAGTTACCTAGTTAGTTAAAAAAAAAATTAAAGCTACTTATTGTTACACTGTAAATACTTTTATAAACGATTATAATATTATTTTTATTAAATAGTTACTTTATTTGACACAATCCAACTGACGGTATACATTTACAGTCACTTTCAATATTTTACACTAAATACTAACATAATAAATAAAAACCGGTGGTTTTATGTACATGTTTATACATATATAAGCCTGCACATCAAAGTATCCCAATTTAATAAAAGGATTTTCAACTTAAACTTAAACTATTAACGTCGAAAATAAACTTAGAACTTGACATATCGTATAACTTGATGTGCTTTACACAAATGTATATAGGTAGGTAAATATATGGCAATGTATTATTTATAGATAGTAAATAAGACTGAATACGTAAGTATAAAGTAGCTCGCGTTATCAGCGCTATCTGTCAACTGACAAACAACATCGTACGACATTGTGTGCAACAGATAACATATGCTTCGCCTCGCCTCGCCTCGCCTCATGACCAGCTCCAGTTCCTGTGAGCACCACACGTCACGTATTACAAGTCTCTAGTGACGTCACACTATTGTAATTTGGCATCCATATTTTTTTATCTATTTTATTTAGGGGTTTTTATCTCGGATATGACAACCCCATCATAAGCTTTCACAAAAATATATCAATTTTATATTATTTTCTAGTATAAGCCAACCATCATAGGAAATACTATTTTGAACTTTACATATCTGAACTTTAGGTAAGTTTCTGCAAAAATAATGTTTCATCCAAACTAGTTATTTGTACAATTTGTAATAATGTGTACAATTAAGTTAATGTAAATAAATATACCATATACCATGTCAATTGTTTCGATACAACCAATCGGTATTTCCAAGATATACTTAAGTAAATTTTATAATAAAAATACTGAACACTTTTCTGTCTTAGGTACTGTTCCAAGTTTTTCTTATTAATTTGTTCGTAGGTGCGGACTGGACTCTGTAGAAAGTGCTGGCCTTTTTGGGATAAGGCTTTCGGGTATTTAAGGATTGGGAAGGAATGGGGGAAGGGGAGGGATTACGATCATGACAATATTTTAGCATAACCCCGTCTCTTCTCTTTTTGATCGCAGAGTGATATTTTATTAACACGAGAAGGATTGTACAATTCAAACCAGTAGTTCCGTAGGTAAGTAAACAAACAAACAAACAAACTCTCCAACTGTATAATAATATTAGTATTATACTCTTTACTTACATTAGGTACCAACGTCCCCAGAGCCATTTGGTAGTTATTTAACCCAGTCCTAGAATAGTTTAAGTAACTATTAATATAACTATCACTACAGTTTGTAGTTGTAAATATTTTGATAGGTATTGTATAAACTATAAACAAAAAAATATATTGTTGAGCCAAAGTATGTGACCTACATTCGGGCCATACAGATAATGTAAGCCATTCTGCCTAGATAACAAGCATCAATAGACAATACTGTTTTCTCATCAAAGTACTGGAATAGGTCACGTTCTAGGTTTATCTAGTTATTTATATAAAACAAAATATTTCTATCATCCACGTCTAGATATCATTGACAAAATTCTGACCTCTTTAATCTTTAGATAAAGATTTCTTTGCTAGATGCCTAAACGGAACTTTGAAAAACAAACATTCTTTGTGTAATCCACAAATTGTACTGTTAAGATCTTAAGATCGTTTAAAAAAAACATTGCAAAAATTTGTTAATTAAAATCACTCAGAACGAAAGATACTAACGATTTATTTTAACTTAGAAAGTACTTTAATACGCAAGAACAGATAAAAAAAACTTTCTCAAATCCATAAGAATTTCGTAAAGTGCCATATTTCCTACATCCGTTCCCGTTACACTCCTTGTGATTCCCAGATGTCGCGCAGATACAGAGACCTTACCTGCTTTCAGGAAACCGGCTGCTTATTCGCAAAATTATAAAAAACATAATGGTTCCCATATTCATTCACTTACGGCACGGTAGCGCAGTGGCTGGCCGATCAGCTGTTGTACAACGTGTTGGAAGTTCAATACCCGCACGCGCGAGACAACTGCCGTCTTCTCCATAGTTGTTAAGTATCTATTTAAGAGGAGTAAAATAGTTATTTCAATTTTAATTCATGTTTTTAAGGCCACGGTCAACAGAAATTAAAATTATGCACAAGGTTACTTTTGATAATTATATTTAACTAGCTTCCGCTCGCGGCTTTTTCCGATTGGTAAATAAAAAGTAGGTACCTAAAAAAAGGTTTTCCATGTACCGTATCCATTCCATGTTAATAATATATATATAACTTTCGGGCAATCCGTCTATCAGTTTTTGGTTTAAAGTATAACAAACATACATCCAATACATCCTCACAAATGTTTCATTTTTCATTAGGATTAATAACATTGTAATGTCACATCATAAATCAAAAGTTAATCGAGTTTTTAGGACAAGAATAGGTATTTAGTCACTCTCATTAAAAACTTTATACTTGATGTTAATTAGTGTATCGATAGCTATCAATGAATGATGAAACATTGCAACAATAAAAAGTGTTTTATTAAAACAATTAATCTATTTTTGCAAATAAGCCATAAGAGGCTTCTTTACACTAAAGTCTAAATTTTATTTAAAAACTAGACGAAGCCGTATTTTATACATACATATATATAAGCTCTTAATAAAATATGTTTGTCCAAGTATTATCTATGTAGTTATAGTAAGGCCTACGTGTGACTAGATACAGGTCAGTTACTATACCGCTAGCAGTTATCACCCAGTTAACTGACAAACAATTATAAACCGGTTACATCCAGTAACATCTAATATAACGAGCTAATTACATCACTTATATTATTTGCTCATTAGTTAAGTAAACTTTATTACTTTTTTTTAAGTAGTAGGTATATTTATAAAAACTTATTTCAAAACACGTATGGTTTCATCAAGTGCTTAATTATAATGAAACGTATTTCTATGAAAAGAGTATACATTATTTTCTGTTACTGCTCAGTTGACGCGTTGATTGGGTAACCGGCTGCCGTGCAACGTATCGCGGGTTCGATTCCCACATGGAAAGACTCTTTGAGAATCTCAGATTGTTTCTCAGGTCTGGGTGTGATGTGTGTGTGAAATTGTCTGTTCAGAAACGCACCCACGACACAAGAGAAAACTTGTGTGGCGCAACGTTCTTATTTACAAATTAAACAATATTGATGGGGTAACAATTTATTTTCTTGGATTTATTTATTAAGTTATAAGAATTGCTTTGTGTGAATAAGGCTACACAGCTATTATTAATTAAGGACAAGAACCTAATCATTGTGTGGTTTCAAAATTTAAAATAAATGAAAATTACAATCAAAATGATATTAAGAAACGTTCAGAATACTTCTGTGCTTAGTGATAAGAGTGCTGTGTTATCAGTACCGGTGTGAACCGGATCGGTTATCGGTCAAACAGCAGATACGGTGATAATACTGGCAGAGTATGGACATAGCTTGTGTTTTGTTACTTTCAGCACAAAAAGGTATAATCTATATAAAAATCGTAACAATAACTCACCAATGCCTTTACCGTTTTGGCTCATTTTGGTGTTGAATTATTTGACTGCACGGTTGGCGCGGTGGCTGGGCAACTGGCTGCCGCGCAACGTGTCACGGGTTCGATTCCCGCACGGAACAACTCTTTGTGTGATCCACAGATTGTTGTTCCGGGTCTGGTTGTGATGTGCATGCGAAATTGTATGTTTGTAAACGCACCCACGACACAGGAGAAAATCCTAGTGTGGGGCAACGTTTTTTTTAAATAAGAAAAAGAAAAAAAAGAATTCATGGAAGTCCTCTTTCTTTATACTTCATAAGTTTGTACCTACGTAGAGAAAATTGTTCAAAAAGTGAAAAATCGACATCCAAGCGGGTGGAACCGCGGGCGACTGCTAGTACTGTATTAAATAAGTTTACAATGTAACGTGGGTATCATCACGACTTCACGAGTGGCAAACGGCAATGGTATAAGCAGAGGCGTTACAATATTTTTTCCTAACTCTAAACACATGACAATGATTAATTATTAAAACCTTTTTCTTTTATTTTGGAATCGCATAAGTATTTTCCAATTAAGTATTTTTCAAATGCAAATCGGTTTTCTATTTTCATACCCTGTAGATAATATATATTTGCCAGTATCTTCTCTACTCGTATTATCAAGAATTTGAAATTTTAAAACATTAATTATTGAGTCTAAAAACCCTCGCGTTCTACAGTCAGAATTGGGATTGAGTAATCCCAGGGCCTTAGAGGTAATCGATAAATAACTTTTTAAATATCGTTACACTTAATATTTCTTCGAAGATAGGCAAGGTGTGTGCCGTAGTCTAAATCTACAAGTAGAGGCCATAAAATAAATAATTATGTCTTAAACATTTCAAGGCTGTAAAGGGTCCAAGGTTCTCGGCTCGTGTTGCCACGTTATTCTATAAAGAAACACATGTCTAGGCAAAAAATTCCCCAAAACAGCAAGGTGCGGGCTGCAAGGGGCGCGGGTGCGGGTTCCAACACCGGACGTGAACATTTAAATATTTCCTTCACGGTAAGGAAAAAAATAATGGATCAGCTGTTAAGTTGTAAACTTGAAGTTGTTCATTATCTTAATAACTTTATACTATCAGCCTATAAGCGTCCACTGATTAACAAAGGCCTCTTCTCACACTGGCTGGGCTATCAACTGCCTTGCAAAATGCCGCGGGTTTTATTCCTATTTGCGTGACCTATATTATATTCTGGGTTCGGGTCTAGATGGCTAGTGTATATTCATTTGTATGTTAGTAAACGCGAACCTACGTTGAACCTATATCAATGACTGATTTTTAACATTAAGACTCCTTTCCAATAGCATCTTAGTAAGTATAAATTTATAAAAAATAGTTCCGTCAACACTTTTCTGCTTGCATCTATGAAAATTAAGTGGCGTAGTGATAGTATTGGGATCATTTCATTTTTGTTAGGAATAGGAGACAATCGAGCAGACGGATCAGCTGATGATAAGCGATCACCGCCGCGTATGTGCACCTCACACCCACTACACTAATGGCGTCACAATTATGTTGCCGGATTTTTAAAAAGAAACACTCTATCCTTATCTTTTTACCAGTTATACCTTAAAAAGGTAGGTAAGTTACATAATCATATTTTTACATCCTTACATTACATAGGGTTTATTTTAAGCACAGATCGATACGTTATCTCGGTAAACTATAGTAACTGCACAGTTAGAGCTCTGACTGCTGTACAGCGTGTCGCGGGTTCGATTCACAAGTCTGCTTGCTACATTATGTATGCTAGTGAATTTTAATTTTGAGGAAACCAGGAAATTATCCTTATGTGATGGTTTATAAAACAGGAAACAACAGTATACATATAAGCGGTATTTGAATTAACATGAACCCTAGCACAGCGCACGGGGAAGGTATACTATTCTATAGATATATATTTAAACATTGCTATAGTAAATCCGAATCGTACATAGGTGGTGTGTATATGTGTGCGGGTGTGGAGATCCCCAGCGGAAGGCCGGCGCCGAATTCCGGGAATTACGGTCGCCGTTATGGATTCCCTTAAGAAGCGCTCGCTACAGCTGATCTGCGGGGAAAAAATGTAATCGTCAGCTGTTCCACGCAGGCACGCGAATGTAAAGAAAGTGGGTTACTATTGTTGCTAACTCCAAGGTACGATCATAGTGAATATTCACTGGTACGGTACTTGCCGACATAAATAAAGATGCGAACACAGGCACGTGGTATTAAACTGAATGCGGATAACGTTATCGTCCACAGCTACCTGCTAGCGACCCGTTAGGCCTAAAATAATGCCCACCCCGCAAAACAAAGGCGCGGGACAAAGCAAACACGCTATAAATCCACGGCTCGTTGTATAGAGCGCGCGCGGGGACGTGGCGGCCGCGCCACGGCGGCGTCAGTCAGGCGTGGGCACGCCGAGCGAGCAGACGGGTGAGCCACGCGCGCGCGCACTACGCTCCCCCCACCTCCCCGCACCGCCTTATTACGAGTTGTCGCCGCCGAATCGCTACGCCGCGCCGCCAACATGCGTGGGATAACCGCTCAAGAGCTTACGCGGAACTCCATTCTCCGCATCAACGAGAAGAAAACGATGCAACTACTGTACGAGTACAAGAAGGAGGAGTGCCTGTGGAACTCCGCGTTGGACGACTACCCGAACAAAGAGAAACGCGTGCGGGCCGCACAGAAAATAGCCAAGATTCTCAACATAAAAAACTTTGAAGGACAACATGTTTTAATTAAAATAAAGAATCTTCGTAATTCTTATTCTCAAGAATTAAAGAAAATAAAAGAAAGTATCGACACGCTGGGGCCCGACTCTCCTGACTTGTACCGGCCCAAAGTACAATGGTTCTCTCTCATGGACTCGTTCCTGCGACCACACGTGCAGACCTCCAAGCTACTGCCCACTACCGTACGTACCTCGACCAAAGTATAAAGAGAGGAAGTAGGTTATCTTCATACAAACGCACCGCGCGCGGCTTGTATGTGTGAGCCATAGTATCTACGCGTCACGCACGCACACTGTAACAAAATCTCGACCCGTTTCTCAGTGCGCCAGTCGGGGCTGACACTGCACGAGGTTCGCGTGTCACTGTTTTTCAGCACCGCTAAATCAAAACAAAATGTCTGATTATCGCAGGAGAACGTATTGCTGTGTGTTTGGGTGTCTTAACAATTCATCGACTCCAGAATTGTCTCTGTTCAGATTACCTATTGAACAAGAAAGGTAAGCTAGACACTCGTTTTGAGATACCTACTTAAATATTTATTTTTTGTTGTATTAGTTTTCTATCGCACAGAGGAAGCAGGTAGGCTTAATTTATACTTTTGATGTGTCAATTGACGCTGCTATTGCTTTGTTTACGTTTGGTTATGCCGATTTTTCAGTTACTTTAGTTTCTCACAGTTACAGTTAGAAAATCGTAATTCTCAATAAATAATTGACTAATAATTGTAAATCAGATATACATTTATAGCAAAGTTCGAATCATAACAACA